GCCGAAATGAGACCAGGCTGTTTACACCGGGCCTGACCGTGGTAAGTGATACTGTGGCAATTTTCCCCACGTTAAAAGGTCGGACGTGTTCTCAAATTCCAATCAACTGGCTCGCGTCCCTTTGGCAGAAGGTAACCTCTACCTTTTGAAGGCTGAATAAATAATAGAAATCGGCCTAAAAAGGGACACAATTGGCCAGAGAAGGTAGCCTGGTTACCAAACCTATTATAGCTCCCGAGTCGGACTCGGGAGCTATAATACGTTTGGTAACCAGGCTACAGAGAAGGTAGTCGGTCAGAGAAGCTCCATTTTACCTCAAATTTTCCGTGCAGGCAAAATGGAGCTTCTCTGACCGACTCTCTGGCCAATTATATCCCCTTTTTTAGGCCGATTTATATTCAGCCTGCAAAAGGAGTCTGGTGGGGACTATCAAACCTCTGACACATCGACATCAGTGAGTTGACAAGAGTATAGTTTGTTTGCCTACCCCACTGTATGATACCAGGAAATCATGTACAAAACGCATGATTAGAATGCTATGCTTTCGTGTTAAAGATTTATCAGACAAAGAGTTTGGTAAATACACCCACAAATCTCTAGAAACATCCGATGGCGATGTACGTATAGCCCCAAAGAGCTTCAAACCGGAGGTGACCTTTGCATGTTATCTTTGCAGTGCTAAGCCCCGCCCCACGGCTGTCAATCATAGTTACACGACGTCAGATGAACAAACGGAAACGCTACAGACAAAGGGATATGTATAAGAACAGTTCAAATGGCAACCTTTGTTTGGTATAACTTGGCTTCCTGTTCGATGTAATACCAAAGTCAACGTTGCCGTTCACAACACTGACATAACATTTAAAGGAAGAAAGTTAACACTGTGTACTGTGGCATCGTACCTGCACCTGCGACCACATAGTATGTTCTGTTGGGTGTTGTCTCTAATATCTTTAGAACTTCTAGACAAATACAGACACCCTCCCACTCAGACACAGCGTATTATCAATTTTGTTACATAAGTAGTGCTCAATATCTTTATCGAATGCGATCTTCAAATAATTCTTCTGTTTCTCGTACCTAGAATACTTCAGAGTCATGAATTTTGACAATGACAATGAAATTTATTGCATATTCATGCCCCAGTGGGGCTAAATGCACTACTTTAGCTACAAATAAGGACTCTGTTATGCTCTATCTATTCTAAGTTGTACATGTTTCTTCTCGAAATCTCTTCCTTAGACATTTGTATACGAATTTACATAGTTTTTCTGATGCATCATAATATAAGGGAGGAGCTCCATAGAGCCCCGGACAGGGAGAGTTTGTTTCCCCCGGCCTGCCACGCGTCTTCTCCGCTGTGTAGTCCTCGATATCTTTCTCGAATTTGATCTTCAAATAATTCTTCTGTTTCTCGTAGCTAGAATACTTCAACGTCATGAATATCAGGGAGGAGCTCTATCTTATTTTGATGTGTCAAGTTGGCAGGAGTGGGTTGGTGAGAGCACTTGGACAGTAACCTGTCGTGGGTAGCTTGGCACATCCTTTGTCTATTCCCCTTCCTTTGACTATGTCTCAGTCACGTCGAAAAGTTAAAAAAAAAGAAAATATTAAAAACTCCTGTCTCTCTTGTCTAGTTTTCACTCTTTTCTGATTTTTTTTATACCCCAATTAAAAACGGGAGGATCGGAGCTCCATAGAGCCCCGGCCAGGGATAATTTGTTTTCCCGCGGCCTGCCACGAGCCTTCCCCGCTGTTCATCCTCACCAGTGTCACCCCCGTCAGGACACGCGCGTTGTTACTGAAGCGGACTAATGAGGCAGGGTTCATGGTATGAGCGAACGGAGACCTCCGGCGATACTCGATCCCCACATCGTGGCAGGCCTCGTGCAGCCATGTTCATTATCGCAATTTGGAAAGCCCTCTAGCACTCTCGATCTCTCAGTCACAAGGGTATCAATGTGAACAATGAAAATGAGCCGACACCACGCACTACTCGTGGAGAACGAACTCCTAATGGGCCCATTTGTTGTTGCTTTAGTCTTGTTTAGACATGACGTTGCACACAAACGTTCAAATATCTGTAATTCCAGTTTTTTTTATCACTGTACTGTTATAATGTTCATTGTTTTCACTGTCACTTCTGTATCGTAAAACTTATTATTACAGTGAACAAAATAATTCCTGAACTTTCTTTTTCCTGCACCTGTCGCCACCGTGAACATATAGTTCCGTGAATATGTCCATTTTTCTCAGACCGTGAACTTTTGATACCGTGAACATAAAGTGAATTACTAGGTGGTTTTCCATTACACTTGTTCACTTGTTTTAGCTTGCATGTTTGCAATTTTGCACACACATTGATGGATATTCATGTTGCATCTTCAATGTATGGTTCTGGCTAGCACATTATACTGGCGCCAAAACATGTATCAGTCGGCAAAGCTTTGAAACTCAAGTTGCACATTTAGATTGTATGAAATGGATTTCCTGGAATCTGTGGGAGGTTAAATGCCAGGAAATATCTCGTCTCTTCTGTATGAGTTCCGGAGAGAACTAGTTCTCCTATTCCTGTCTATTCACAGTCACAGACAGTAAAAACACAACAGACAGTGGGATAGTCGTGACGCGTCTGACACAGATAAGGGATCATCTAATGCTATAAAGGCTTTAATAACTACAGAAGTATGTTTATTGCCTATAGATATGAAATTTGAATTACCCAATAAGTGCTCAACTTTGTTGGGACCTCCTCTTCAAGAAAGATTTAATTGTTACAACCATTAAATCTTTCTTACATACTGTTTTTCACCTTCTTAACGGTGCATACCCCAGTTCTATATATGACTGTTATAAATCCGTGATAGTCCGTTGTAAAAAAAAAGTGACGAAAGGGTTTTTAGGGTCCAAGTTTGAGGTGACATTTCTCATAAACTGCCACGAAGTGACGAAAGGGTTTTTAGGGTCCAAGTTTGAGGTGACATTTCTCATAAACTGCCACGAAGTATCATTAAACAAACATTAACATGGCTGAAGAGTGTACTGAGAAATGGTGATTTTGGGGTGAAAATTTCTTTTGGCTCCGAGCCTTACTTCCGGGTATCCTTGCGCACCAAGTGTAATCCGCCCGTTTGACCTAGATTTCGCTCTGCGCCTTCGTAGGGGTGGATTTGCAACCCCTCGCGCCGTGGACTGTTTAGAAAATTACAGTACTAGAATTTTCTTTATAATTTACTCGGGTATAGTCAAGGCTTGGGTCTTTCTGCCAGCATCAGTCATTTCTGCCGGAAAATTTTTTTCTATAGGATTATCCAACGCGAAAATTCGCAATTTTGGGCATTAATTTTGGAGTGAAAATAATGTTTTTTTCCGTTGACTAAGTTTTACCAAACTTAAAAAGGTTAAAGAAACCAAACTCAGCTGGGCTTGTAGCTGAAGAGATATACTTTCGTCCCATATACAGTTATTCTCCTTCCGAATTATTCCACGCCAGAGACGGTCGCTAGATTTGAGGGTGTGCAGCTTCGAATAGAGACGCCAAAGAAACTGGGGTGTGCATTGTATCTGTTATCGACTTGAGTATCAAACGCCGTAAACTTTGGTGCTCACCTACTGTGTAATTCAGGAGAATGCGTGTCAATGTAAAAACCCTTATCTCATTTAGACACTGGCACCTAGAGACGTTTTATCACTAGCGATCCAACCATCTCTTCTGACAATTTTCTCTCTGTCACGGTACCACTGCAATGAAGTTTTCCCATGCACTATCAGTTATATTTTAACAACATATATAACAAGACATGAACGACTTTAGGCACCTGAAGACGTTTTATCACTAGCGAACCAACAATCTCTTCTGACAATTTTCTTTCTGTCACGGTACCACTGCAATGAAGTTTTCCCATGCACTATCAGTTATATGTAATACAAGACATGAACGAATTTAGGAGATGGCACTAGATAGAAGAAGCAGGCTATATATATCTCGCCGCACCGTTATTGAATTGGCCTACACAATTTCCTCTCCCCGTGAGTTGGCTACTTGGAGGATTACCGATAATTGAATGGCGTGTCTGCAGATGTTGTCTGAGATCGTGATCGTTAGGAGCAGGCCAGAGGGTGGTTAAGTCTGTGTTCCTTACAGAAGAGATAGACTACATGTATGAATCTAGATTTGTTTTAGGTTTGGTAAAGTAAGGTAAAGGTCACATAGCCTTTGAGGCCACAGGGACAGTGGTTTGTTAGTCTGTGTATAGGAAAGCGGGCTATGCATGAAAAGGGCATGGGTGTTTTTCTATCATGTGCTAATGTAAACAATAGCCTGGATTATAACACTCCTGGCTAATCATTGGTTTACAGCAAAGTTGCAAAGTTCTAGCTACATGCAGAAGTCCTGGTGGTGGGAAGAAGATGCCGGTGTACTCTTGTTTTGAATGACTGGAGGTTGTTGTCAGTGATCAGGCCGACCACGTTAACTGTTGTCTGGAAGACTGTTCCAGATGTCAACTGCAGTATGTATGGTATTGCAACATCAACTGTGCGTACTTGGAAACGTGACTTAATTTACCTGTTTGTTTGTTTGTTTGTTTTCTTTCTTTCTTTTGTTTGTTTGTTTATGAGGGATTAAATGGGATCGATAAAAAAGTTACAACTGCATAATCGTCGTAGGGTTAAGACAGCATTTAATGAAGCCATCATGCTAGAAAAGTCTTCAGACAAACATTTAGCTCGAGCTCTTTCAAGATCTAATACTGCAACGCAAAGTGATGACTTTTAAACTATACCTCTTGCAACTGTTGTCCATGTTACTATATACATGTATGCTATCTTGACTTAGTACAGAAGCAGATCGTGTCGTGAATCGGCTATCTGGGAGGATAGCTATGACCAAGATGAACATCACTTTAGTTCTTTCCTCAATAAGCATTTGAGAGAATTATGTCACTATGCATGTCACTGAGATGATTATATTATCCATTAGCCATTATATTATCTTGCCTTTTTAGTAGACGCTTTAAAATACTTCTCTCGAGTTGTAACAAACAACGCTAGTAGCGCAAATATATCAGTTCTGTACATATTTTATATTTCTATATATTGATATATATCAAGAGTTCACATAACTTTAGTAGCAACAGCGTCCTGCGCTGAAGCATGGCTGTATATGTTTGGCACTACCATATGTTTTTCTATAGAGCTATATAGATCTTACTTTGGTAATACTGTTAATGACAAGAGAGTAAATTTTACCGTACACACATTCATATCATTCTCTGTGTAAAATGCAGCAAAAGCAGTCGCGAACTAACTTTGAGTAACTCTGTCCATAGACGCACTACCTACTGGTGCAGGTTGTGTCCTTGGAGCAAGATGCCAGACATCTCGTGTCCAGGGCATCCACGGACGCCGCTGAGCGGATCTGTCCCTTCTTGACGAACTCGTACTCCATGAGCTGCTCCGCCAGGGGGCGCTTCGTGGGGTCGATGTGCAGACAGTTTCTGACCACACACCTGGCCGAGGAGGACAGCCAACACGGCAGGGTGAAGTTCAGCCAGCCCAGACGGAGGTACATGCCCCCGGCATGCTTCCTCCTCAGTTTGTGGTACGTGAAGGCCAGGTTCCCCGTCACCATTCTGTACAGGATACAGCCTAACGCCCAGATGTCCCCGGCGAAGGTCGCTACCTGCGTGCCCTTGGCCGTCAGAGTCTCCGGCGCCATGTAACTCGGCGTCCCGCACTTCATCTTGTTAGACGCGGCCGTGCAGATCCGGACAGACGCGCCGAAGTCCGTCAGCTTGGCCTGCATGTCCTTCCCCATCACCACGTTGTACGGCTTCAGGTCGCAGTGGACGATCCCCCGCGAGTGGACGTACTCCACGGCGGCCACGATCCCACGGAAGATCGGTCTCACCTCCTTCTCCTTCAACTTCTTCCTCTCCTTCAACAGGTGTTCCAGGGACTTGTTAGGACAGAACTCCAGCACCAGGTACAGGTTGCTGCTGTCCTCGATGTCCCTGATGAGCTCCACGATGTTGGGGTGTTTGAGGTGCCTGTGGATGTCCACCTCCATCAGTTTGTTCTGCTTCACGTCTTGCAGACGCATGGCCTTCACGGCGTACTCTTTCTCTTGGGTACATTTGGCGTAATACACCTTGCCTGAAATGTAAGCAGTATCGTCAGTGGTATAAGTTGAACAGAAACAGTGTATTGTACCTGATAACACAGTGTTACGCTTTCTATTCTTTCCGGAGTCTGTCCCCTTTCCCTTCCTCTTTTACACATCGCACAAAGACAGACAGACACACACACACACGCACGCGCGCGCGCACACACACACACACACACACACACAAGTACGCACAAGCACGCACACCATACACACGCACAGTGTATGGTAGTGGCACTGGTATGATGGTGTTTGTCCTTGCACGGAGGTATAAGTTTCAAATTATACCTCCATGGTCCTTATAAACAATTCAGATTATTCAGTCACTCTCTCTCATTAGGTAGCAACGACGCCCTACCATACTGCACATGTATAAGCGGTAACCGTGCACAGTCTTACCGTAACGCCCGGAGCCAAGTTTACGGAGGAGGGTGTACTCTCTCCCGTCCACCGGGTCCGTCAGGTGCCCCGGGATGGTGGCGCTCCATGTGGAGCCGCTGCTCAGTTCACTCGGGTCGTACGTCTCGTCCTCACTGCAGAAATAAAACACAGTACGCAGTTTTTAAAAGCTCTTACTATGCTGTAACCCAAATAGATTTTAAAGCTTTGAAGCACTAGGTCCTATAACTTCTTCTTCTTCATTCTTCCTCTATGAGGTGCAGCTAGTGAAGTTTTGTCTCCAGTACAGTCTGTCAGTCATTGCGGACAGAAGTTCCGACCCTTGCAGACCAGTTTCAGACTTAATTAGTTTCTTAAGAGTTGTGCTTGGACGACCAATTCTCCTTTTTTCATCTGGAGTCGAAAGTAGGAGTAACCGGATATAACTGTTGTTTGTGATGTGCTTACACCAGGGTATGTTATAGGCTACCCGCAGCATCTTAGTCCTATATAACACACATACACACAGTAGTATTTTTACTTCGAATAAAAGATTTCCAATTTATCTACTGTAGCTTCAAAACACCTGCTCATCCCATACATAGGGATGCATTTGGAAATGTGCATATACCGAGCTTTGCTAGTTTTCTATCTTCACACCCGTGTGTACCCTCAAGCAAGATGACTCATATGCCGGTTAATAACATGGGATCAGACGCAATGAATTGTTAAATAAAGTAACATTACATGAACTTAGCATTTTACGGAGTATCAGCTTCGCGCGGCTAAGCATGTCTCTCTTGGAGATTGAAATTCCATGATGACCGTCTGGAGACCCTTATATCTGCACTTGTAAGTCCACTTGAGACGCCGACGATACTGTTATCAAGGCTCTAGAGATATTTGGGTCCCTCTTAAGCCAGGATATTGGACGAATGCCAATGTTTCCATTAAAAGTCGTCTGAAAGGTATCAAAAGTACACTGTGGAAGAAGCCGCGTTTGCCATTTTCAACATTAACTTGGTCTCTGATGAGATGCCGTTTTTGCAATGTATTTTAGCGCTGATTATTTCCTAGCTTTAGATTCTTAGATAGAAAGGAAAAATTCACTTTCCTCATGAAACTCGATAATCCTCGTACTATAAACTCCATCTGTTCTTACATTTACAACTGTTTTAAGAAGCGAGAAGAAGCAAAACCTGTACATATGTAGTTTTACTATAGATATATATATTTTAGTCTACCATCGCTATTTACCATGACCTGTACTTAGTTCGAAATGAGCAAAAATGTACAATAAAGGCCTTTCATTCATTTGAATTATTTAAATACATACTAGCATACCTAAGCACAAGAGAGCCAGCCTCTGTGAAGTGTTGGAGGCCGTATATCAACGTCCCACTCTTCCGACGTAATCTGATTAAGATAACGACAGCGCACAAATATACCCTAATGTTTTAATGCGCTTAAGTCTCAGACTGAAACACAAATATATCACAGTGCACATCACTGACGTCAAGGCGCGTCAGGGGTTAACTAAGATGAAAAGTCAACGGAAGTTAATTCTTCAACATGGCGTGCACCGGAAGTCTCTGTACCCTCTGCACGTTATCATATGGATTTTTGCTCCCGTGTGTGCATGCAATGAAAACAGGCCGTAAGGCAACATTGTCTTAAAGATTAGGCCACACTGAAGTTGATTTTATGGATGACATCCACGCGCGCATTGATTTTCGCTTGGCCTGTGTGCCATCCTCCATGATAGGTAGCAACAATATGACGCCGGCGGTAACTGCGGAGGGCAGCATCCAGGCTGCCGAAGCTCCGCGGAACTAAAAAACTCAGTACAGTAACCAGTCATAAATGTCGCAAAAAGCCAGCATGTGTCGGTTTGTAGTAAAAGTCGCTATGTACTACAGCAAATTCATCATACCAGCTTTGTATTCCTAGGCCTGTGGTTTAGCAAAATATTTTGGCTGGAAATTTGTTTATTCGCCCGTGCGCACTAGTATGGGGGTCTTCAGCGGATGTTATCCATAAAATTAAGTCAGTGTGGCCCAGTACACGGAAGACCCGTTTTAATTAGCCTCCTGTGCAGGCCGGGCGGGCGGGTGGGAGTTTTCAGTGATACTGCGTTTTGTAGAATTTTTTAACGCCTTCTTTTGCCGGCCATCGTACACGGCCAGCCGCCCAGAGAAGATTTGTACCCGCCACGGACTTACAAAACGCAGTATCAAAACTCTCACCCGCACGGAGGCCTGCACAGGAGGCTACGTTTTAATGTGCTTAACATCGTTAGTATGCGCGACCCTAAGATTGATTTCCAAACGTTTAAGATTGATTTCCAAACGTTTAAGATTCGTGTCAATGGTCCAGTCGTGACCACCACTGGCCACGAGACTGACCCTTGGCCCTGTGTGATGTCAGAGGTCTCCAAGCATCACTACGCCATTGTACTCTTAAATATGAAGATATCGATCATTGCTGAAAGCTAAAAGCACACTTTCAGTTCAACCTAGAACATTATGTTACTATATACGTACTGAAGAAAAAACACACACCCTAACACAAGAACAATGGGCCAATGGAAGCGCTAAAAGGGAATTCGACAGACGGTTTCGACTTTATTTGTCTTTCTCAAAAGGGCAGCGTATGGACCACTCTCCTTTTGTACTTTTGCCTTCTTAGTACAGGGTTAGCTCGAACTCGAAATAATTTACCCTTTTTTAGCCCGGGTTGCACTGATTTGAAGATGAAGTACTTGTTGTAAGTTGTATACACAAGTACATTTGCACTACATTGCGTTCCCCTGTGTCTAGTTATTATCCAGCACTGAGAAAAATCATAGAAGCGTTACAGCTCATAATTGATAATCACTGAACGTACTGGTTATGATAATCAGAGAATTGGACAATTGATCCTTTAGTTACAAATTCATTAGCGTCGTCGCGAATCCAACGTATTTTACGTCCTTTCAAAAGGCGAAATAACAAATGCCATGCTTGAACTCTGTGTAGATGGGAGGAGTGTGATGTACATAGAAATCTCTATGAAGCAGTCAGTGGCACCAGTTTCATATCCTGTAAGAGCCAGATCATGCCTTGACTTATCTTTTAGCCGATAAAGATATTGACCAACTCGAAAAGGTGTTAGAATATGATTAACCAAAAATCGTGTGCTCTAGGAGATCTTGCAAATGTCTGCCCAGGTCTGTTAAACAGGTTTAAACAGGTTCCAGGTGCACCCGAGTAGGAAATGCACATCACGGACAGACGTGTTCACAAGCCACACTTCCGGAGTGAAGGCTTTTGTCAGAAAAGCTGGGAAAGCCCATGCCTGACGCATTAGGACCAGTAATGAAAAATGAACGTCTCACAGGAATAATAAGAGGGGGAAGCAAGGTTGGAACTTGACAAATGGTACGGAGAATGAAGAGTGGTGATGTTTATAAGGCTTGATCTTTGAAATTCGACACAGTGATTGATTTTTATTATACCACGTGGAAACATCGCTTCGTATCATAATAGGATTAAGTTATGCCTCTTCACACCGGATATGTGTGCTTTCTTCCATTTGATGTACCATTTACTACATTGTGCAGGGGTGAAAGGCCAGGCAATGGCTTAAGATTCGAAAGCTTAACGTATCTAAAGGCAAATTGACTACAACAGGATATACTTCATTCAGTCACTCTGTGTTACCTGGCAGTTCAGTTACCTTCCGTACAAGGTGACTTTCTACGGGAGAGTCTACTTGACAATAATGACTTTGAATAAAGCCTTCGAAGTATCTAAAGTACTCTTTGGTGAAGATGCAACGTGAGTCTTTACAGTTACGAGTATTTGAAATTACTCAAATGCCTTAAATGGCAATATTCAATTTGGTTAGTAAAGATGCTAATTGAATACTATCCAACATATTTCATCTATCTTCCCTCCTCCTCTTGTGAGTAGATGGATTCCTGTACGTCCATGACGTCCTTTGAATACCTTAATATTGTTATGCTTACCGAAGGAAAACATTGTTTTTGCTCAGTTTCTTCCTCTTCTTTTTCTCCAAACAAACAAGGTCAATGACCTGAACCAGACGTCTGTCACCATGGTAACTAGTGCTGGGTTACATCATGTTGCAATTTTATAGCAGAAGGGATTTAGACTCCTGTCACCATATATGTGAATGTGTTTGAGTAAGAATTAACAGACCGAAGTAAACAGTATGCATTTGCTTTGCAAGAGTTACCGCTCTAGTAGTATATCTTGTATTTATGCTCAAAGACGTTAACATTCTAAACGATGCAGCAATGTTATCCATAACCGAATCACCACCTTACTCAGCATTCCACATGGAGGACGCACGTTCAGAAAGCTGTTCTCAGAAGCTCTGGTCTTCTCAGAATTGTCTGAAATGGTTCATAAACTTTTATGAAAACACGGCGCAATTTCCATTCAAATGGGGGACGTGTATTGTGCTAGTTTCACCGCAAATATAACTTTCTTCCATAACACATTCTGTTCCTCAAACCAGAGTTCTGTCATTTGTCATTAAATAGCGTTGAAGGAATATAGATGAATAAAGTCTGTATGCCAACATTCACTCCTGATCGCTATCACGCACAGGTTGCTGGAGGGCATATTGAAAAGTTGACCATCTCTTAGCACACGTCAATGAAGGTCAGACATCCAAGTAGAGCATCTCGTAAAACAAATAAATTCACCAACTGGATATTAACTTCCTTGAGGTGACGGACGTTTCAGATAGGACCTGCTATCTTACATCGGATTCTGAGAATCCACTTCGATTCCGCATCGTGACTTCCGCTATGTTTCATCATAATTGTCAATCATGGATGAAAGATAGCGCTATATATAGCCAGCGGATTGCTATCTGGAAGGTCTGGCTCTTGATTTGCTTGATTACCTCCATGAAAAATGGAGGTATTGTTTTTGACGTGTGTGTGTTTGTGTGTGTGTGTGTGTGTATGTGTGTGTTTCCGCACATTTGTAGTTAGCTTAACTTCATAACGCCTTTATGAATTGTGATGATATTTGGTATGCTGGTAATTCTTAGGAAGACGAAGGTCAAGGTCAAATATGGGCCTCCTGGTGGATGGCCTTGGTACTGCAGCAGAACTTCCAGAACCCATAAATTAAACTAGATTATGCTAATTACGACTTTATTTCATAGTCAATGAGACAAATAAAAAAACATTTACAAAAACTCATATTTCATGGAGGTATGAGATCTACGAATTCTTGTTTGTTTTTGTTTCAGGCGTAGCATACAGCCATACACTGTCAGTCAGTCACAGCATGGGATTTTAATGCGTTTGTTCTACATGGCCAAGAACTACCAGACTAAGACAATACTGGAGTCAGTCAAGGGAGAGGTTCCTCCACAAGATAGAAAATTCCATGGAATGAGTTAGAGTGAGTTCTATTGGTGAACAACACAGAGACACGCCTTATGGTAACGCCAATATTTATCCCCAGATCTCTCAACATCATGCAGCAGTGTACGAAGGACACTATAGACTTAAAAAAAATCTTATTGCTGCCTCATATTTGTGTCTTAAAGTTGTTTCACTCAATTATTGTCTATATTTTAATGTGTTATCGATATTTTATATTTACGTCATTATCGGATATACTTCTTTTAACACTTGATCTTTTAACGCTAAAATGTTACAATTGTAAATGTGAATGTACATGTGATTTACAACACAATTCAGGCTGTTTTAGCCTGCAATGTTGTTTTTTTTTACGAATAAATAAAGTTATATGGTATAGGCCACGAAGAAAAAGTGTAACATAGTACATAGGTATGTGCTCTTTGTGTGTTAACAGTTCCTAGAACTGCACAAAAGGGTAATCGTCGGTACAATTGTAGGTGATGCATATGAGAAATCATTTCCTTCAATAGAGCTACAATTGAGCTGCAGATAAGCTAAATAGACATGAACGCGCACATCGTCGATACAGCAGGACGTTGTCGAATATACATTCTAATTACTGGACTCAGCTCGACCTGGCCTCCTGATAATTCTGACAGTTTATTCTTCCCAGCGAACTGACAGGACATGTTAACTTTGACGTTTGAATGAATCGTTTTTTATGAAAACAAAATAATTGCTTAAAATCCTACGGCGCCAGCCAGGACCCCAGGCAATTATTCTGCACGGGAAAATAGGTCGATCGAAATGGCGGTAATCCTGGGGGTTCTACCTGACCGGCATAGCTGCTCTCTTCCAAACCTCGTTATTACTAACCTAACGTTACAACCTAGAGGTACACGGTTTACATGAACCAATATATTCATTACTACCAACAAGAGAAAATTTAGCGTCATTATTTTACCCTCGCTACAGAGGGGCCTCACCAGGGTCACTCTACAATGCGTCACCCTCACCTTATCCCATCTTTGTCGCCTGCTAGACCAAAAAATATCGCCCAAATGTGCGGGTAAATACGTGAGTGGGCGAGCAATTGGTGGCCTGTAACAAAATTGAACGACGACGCCGTGCTCACTGCAGCGCGAAGCCGGGTCCCTTGGAAAATTAAAATCCGGAAGATTCAGTGACTTATCACGGGGCTGTGATTATTTCTGTGCCCAATCCGCCGTGAAGGTTCGCATGCCTAAGTCAATTATGTTCTCCAAGAAGCCGCCGCGAATCGTCGTGATGAGCCAGCCTAATTGGAAAATCCTTTCAGCTATTTTCTGCACGACGTTATCGTTTCTATAATTTAAGAATCCCAAGATATTTGAAAGTCGATGAGATTATTTGCGCGGCGAGCAGTCAATCGACCAAGGCTGTTATGTATAGATACAGATACAGTACGTAATTAGCACATTTCACAGATATAATTATACTTCAGTGACTGTTATCACCAATTAAAGCTGCGAATCCCAGAGTTATCTCTCCCCGCAGCCCGGCTCTCTCGGCATGGTTATCTGACTTGACAGCGTGCGGTAGAAATGAGATCGGACAGATTTAGTCCTACGACCTTCAACACAGCAACCATTCGAATCCAAAGGACACAAGCGCAAATACCAACCAAGGTCGGTAAATTTAGTTGCGTGTCCTAGTATCCGCCTTATATATACATACACCTGAGCACCACTTGCGGCATAAGACAGACAGGTTACCTCCAGTCTGGATCCTCGCACTCCTCGGAAGTAGCGAAGCCGGTGCTGGCGGACGGTTTTTCGGACATGCTGGAGTCGGTGAAACTGCTTCAGCTTTCACAGTCAGTTCATCACTGTGTTATCGGCAGAACGCAGTAACACAATCCCCGTGGCGATGGTACGGGGTAGTGAAGGCGGCTTGTCCCTGCTGCATTCCAGCGACGTCCATGTCCAAGGCTTTCCAAAAGTCTCCCTCGACCACCGACATCACGACTGCCACATCCTGTGGGCGATTCGCGCCTCCGATACCATTCGGTCGTGAATGAACGTCTAGAGACAGAGCGGCCGCCTTTCACCACAGCATTGGCTGTTAACCTGCTGACCGCTCCTCCAATCACACGACTCCCTTTTCTCCCCCAACAAAAGAAATAACCGCCAAGTGAAACGGTAAATATTACTAACGGCCCGGGTCGGCGAGGGAACGGCCAGGCTGTGCTCCCTCTGCTGCCGAACTAACCCCGGGCGTGCGCTGGCGGTTGGATCAATCCCAGGCGTAAATTGAAATGAGCAACGCACGTACCTATATAGCTAGCGAGGGCAATCTCATTTGCAATCTCATTTGCAATCTCTTTCTCATCTACATACATCATCGTCATATCCAATTCTATATTCGTTTAGCTTGGTACCACTAAAACATTCGGAATACGTCAGTTTTAATGGTTTTTATCATTTGGCGAATTTATGAGGTACTTAAACTTTAGTTTCAGGTGCTATGTAGTTCTTTTGTTTTCAACAACACAAACCTAAATCTAATTCTTGCCATATACATTTTCTGGTGTTTTGATACATCGAATACCGTTGCTTTCGTTATTAATTTAATGTCATTTAGAATGATTTGTAAAATACATCTTCAACATTCAAACTGTAACTATACTGTTAGTGTTTCCATACTGCAAGGTAAAATACATGTTTTGCCTGACAGCTTTTTTGAGTACTGTAATGTGCTCCTTAGAATCACAGTGCTTGTATCTAAAATCGTGACATGTTCTCATTTCTAACGCTCGCTAGTCCAAGAGCAATGGCACGAATAACAGTCTTTCGGAATACAAATGTTGAAAAGGTCATCTCAACAATCTACTGAAGCACCATAGATGATAAGTTACTATCTTGACATCAAAGATTGCTGAACTTTAGAGAGCTGTGTTATTAGATATCAACTAACCCTGTGATCGTAATGCGAAGGGTTCATGTTCCACTGCTATCACTTCACATATCTGTCTAGATAAAATCTAGTTAAATGTATTTTTGCACCTTTGTTATAGTCACTGAATCTAACCAGGTTCTCTATTAGCATTATAAATTTATGTATCATTGCAGCAGTGTTTGATGGTAGTCACTGAATCTAACCGGGTTCTCTGTTAAAATTATTCTCCTGGTGTCAATCCAGGACAGCGCCAGCTTTGCAGCCAATTACCAGAACTACTCAACAAGAAAAGCATATCGGAAACCAGGCGCAACAGGCTGACATGAGGCACGATGTAGGCTTACAGGCCAAGAATTGATGGCACGCAATCCGCTTTCTTTATGAAAGTAAAACTAACATTCCAACAAGGGTTGGCATAAAGGGATAACGCCATAGTCTTTGTAATTCTAGAGCAGCTCAATATGTGCATCTGGTGAATCAGTAAACTTTGAGAAGAAACTGTTCCATTACGCATTTCGGCTGATCTGCTGATCCATGTAATGGGGGCCAAAGAGTAATGTCACGACATTTGACATGGCGCAACCTTTTTTTGGTTCAGAACTTAGATATTGTCTGCATATCTCGGAACTCATGTGTGCAGACGTGACGTGGTGAGAATGCCGAGTGTTGGCCGTGGTTAACGATGTGGCGTGATGTACCGTGAACTCCCACGGCGAACACAGGCTATTTCGGGCACCTTTTCTGAAAGCCGAATAAATGGCATGAGTGGCGGTGGTACATTTTCAGCTGAGGACAAACAAGACCGAGTTTGAACGTTCTCTACTGTAAGCTTCTTAGTTCCATCTAGACGTCTGCGTTTTGTTGATTGAAGACGGCGCCAGATACTCATTTGACAATCAAAGTTATCGGGAGGTGATTGACTGTACTATAACATTAAAAGGTAATATTTTGACAATTACACGTGGCACAATAAAATGATTCATATATTCTTGATACAAATTTATCAAAAGAAGAAACGGAAGTACGGAAATGAAGAAGAAATAAAAATACATTTTTATGTATTGAAGATGATCGTTTGGGGTTGTCACAACAGTTTATTTTTGTGCTTTGGCACCCTAGCTATCTGTAAAATAATTGATGAACAATATCCTGGTGGGTGCCCTTAGGCCACAAGCTAGAGCGACAGTTTCCTGAATGGAGACCAAAATAGCAAATAAGTCTCTAGACAACGCATGTTATTTTCCCCCCGCCAGTTTTAATGGCATTCTACCATGTCCTTCAGGTCAGTTGTGACTGTTTTGGACTGAACGAAGGGACTTTCTCAGCAGCAGGAAGCTTGCTTTTTTTGGGCACATTTCTTCATTGTGTTTACAACACTGTCATTAGAACTACGGAAGAGCCAATGGGCGAATGATGTCGTGCTAGTGGCATGTCAAATAATTACGGAATCTATTGGGAGGAAAGTTTTCTTGGGAGAGTAAGACGCATTTTGACTTTTTATCACGCTGTAGTTTGGTCCGAGTGGGAAAATAAGGAGTGCCCCTTGGTAGACACACAAGACATTTTGCTTTTATAAGAAGAACTTTATTGCACGACAATTGCACAAGGTACAATGTATGGCAAACTTACATAAAGAGAGTAACAAACAGTAAAAAACCTAACATATCTTAATCATTCAAACAGTAAGGGCTAGCACAAGTCTTTGATAAAGTGTTACAATCGAGTTGCAGCATAAAGTATTTTTACCGTCTCTCACGATCTTGTTTCCTCAGCAATTGGTTAATAGTTCATAACCCCTCCACTAGCCGGGTACTTGTAAGTACGCAGCTGTGCGTGCAAACAACCTTTACAGCTATGGCCGACAAGAACCGCGTACACAAACTTATGTAAGCAGCAGAAAGTATTTATATCGTCTCTCACGATCTTGTTTCCTCAGCAATATTGGTTAATAGTTCATGACCCCTCCACTAGCCAGGTACTTGTAAGTACGCAGCTGTGCGTGCAAACAGCCTTTACAGACATGGCCGACAAGAACCGCGTACGTACACTCTAGGGTAATTTCTGCATCCACTTCTCCATCAACCGTATCTACAATGTGACCTATTTCGCTAAGCCTGCCTGAAACAAATCAATATCAAAGCGTGGAAAGCGAATTGAAGTTAGCAAAGATGCCGCTCAATAACCTACATGTAGATGACGACGAGAACATCTATGATCATTCATTTTAGTCAATTCAGTTTTCCTTTTCTTCATTATTTCTCAATTTCCATGTTTTTATGTGTTGTACATATGAATCTGTATGTTCTGTTCGTACCTATATTGTATTTTTATGTATATAATATATAAGTTCAGCACACTTCAGCGGTCCATATTTTTTATGTACTGCTGACCACTGTTTAAATTATATAAAGAATGCTTAATAAACCAATACTCAATGTTACCTTTATAACCAAGTTAAATAACATGTTTTAGTGATCATTAGAAGCTGACATCTCAACTAAGAATGTCCACTGACCATTTCGCTCCGTACATTGTAGCCTAAAACATATTGCGAGTCTTTGTAACATTCGTTAGATAGCAAGCCAATAGGATTTCTGCTGACAGCCTATCTATGTCAGCAATACTTTTCTTATAATACTGATAATCTTAGCTTTCTTACTGACCTTCTTAAAGAAGAGGTCATTCGTCTGACCGGCCAAGTAGGTCCTTCTCCAGTAATCTCTCAAGACGAAGCAGAGTCTTAAGTAAATGGATGGTGCATATGCCCCCGAAGGAGAAAAATAAAAGCGTGGATTTCACGGGGGCAGTTGTAAGTAATCTATTTATAATGCGGCTTCTCTTTGAAACTACAGAAGTCCCCTCTACGCCCGTTTATTGATTTAGTGAGCCACTATAATGAAATAGGACACATGAAAGAGAAATGGTCATAGAAACGGGGCTTGATCGTGGAGCGAAATTGTGTGCGGCACTCACATTACCTGAGAGCTGGAAATGTACGTTTAGAGGCAGCGGTGCGAAACGTACAAGGGTACAATTCGAGTAAACTGCGCAAAATGAACGAAATTTAGACCAAAAAGCTGGTTTAAAACGTTGTCATTTTTTCAATGTTTTTGTTCGTAGCATACGATATTTTAAGATTTGTCCGCGCCAAAGAGCAAAAAGGCGAGGTATTTCTAGTTTGGAAACCTATATTTCCCTGGGGGTTGACTTGTATTGAAGTAAAATAGAGTTTTTTTAAGTATGATGCCCAGCCTGCGATATCAATGTAAGGTAATAAGGCTCATTTTCCCCTAAAGAACACGTACATTGTACATTGTACATGTATCTCTCCCAAATCAAACAGTTCTACTTTTGACTAGGTTTTATTTGAGCTTTGGGGGGCTTATAGGATAAGGCCACAGCATGTAAATTTTATGGATGACATCCTCCGCAGACTCCAAATCTAATGCGAGCGGGCGAAAAAAAAACAAGGCGGGCAAAAAAAACAAAACAAGGTTCCTACATATTTTAAAATTTTGACTCAATCACGGTACAAATGGTTTCGATTCAGTAGGAACATCACATATACACAGCCAACATCACATATCACTACATCAAAATAATAACAAAACATTAAATCAGAGTCTTTCTTGTCTCATCTCTTCATATTTATCTGCCATCTTCCGGCACCTATCACCTTCCGGCATGGCAACAGACATCTTTGCACATTTTCGGGATGTTGACCACTGTCAGAAGGCAACAAAATTTCTTGTTTTTTTTTCCCAAAATCAGGCGAAAATTAATGTGCGCGCTGATGTCATCCATAAAAATTACTTGCTGTGGCCTAACCTTAAAACCATTTTAGTTCCTTCATTTAAGAAACAAAAATACACTTCTCCAGTACAGCCTACATAATTCTAATACATGTTACCTGGCTGTGATATTAGGTTTAAGCGTGTAAATCAGAGTGTGGAGGTTTTATTGGTGGTTATGAATGAAAGTAATTTTCTGCTCGCTGCTCGCTGGCCATGGCCTAGATTTGACGTGATTTGAATTTCATTCGCTTGTAATTCTTCCGATCGGAAACTAAAGGTAGCATGGATCACTAAGTGTCTACCTATGTATGACCACTATAGGAAAATGAAAAATATTTCATGTACATATC